ACATTCGATATCACTTTTAATTGCTCTTAAATTACTTAAAAATTTCGGAACAGTTTCATAATTTACATAACAGTTTGCAAATTATTCCTGATCAGTCTTCAGTATTTAGTGGGTAAGAAAAATGTTAGTGACTATAGTCCGATTTAAAACATGTCATCCCTGTTTTAGATTATAGAAATGTTGAACGCACCTGTGTGAAGATCCAGAAGTGACTGTTTTTGAAAGGGCACGACTTCTTTTATGTGCTCTGAGAGACGGGGGCGGGATTCATCAAGAGAGAAGAAGAGCCGAATCTAAACTTTAATTCATGAAAAATGAAATTAAGGAATCAGGAAGGAAATATTTCATTAAACTTTAATACTTTTTTTGGTGTTCTTGAATTTAATATAGATTTGGGACTTCATGGTCTTCCTGCAGTTTCATTTTAGGAAATTTTGTAGTTTTTCATTTTACTGTTTACAAGTGAATTGTGATGTACAATAGCGTGAATAAATAAAATCTTTGCTTTATTGCCTTGGAAATGCAGAGTACACAAAACATATACAGGCACTGATTTTTACATTGTACATGTTGAGCTTTTGGCTCATGTTTCAGGAACTGTATTAACACTGGAATCTACTTCCTCCTCCACCTCATGATAGCTATGTAATTTTGGTTTTAAATTGGCTGTTCTGGCTGTGTGTTGTTTTTCCTTATAAAAGGTGTGGCTGGGTACATACTTTGTTCAACAGGTCAACACACTGGTGATCAGTTTAATTATTATTATCTTTATTGTATTGTTCCATGTTACTCATTATATGATCGCATCAAAGCAAAAAAACACATTCCGACTTTATGAAAATGTGTTCACTGTCAACAGCAAAACACTTATTGTGATTGAAGTCAGTTCTTGTATTGATTTTAATATTCCTTGTTATATGACCCATAGAAAAGGCGTGTAAAAAAGATTACTTGGAAAGTTCCAAAGTAAAGCTGACACGAACTTGAGCTGCACTACAATTTTATAATTGGGCCGAATTTCGGCTCCTCCGTGCGTCAGTGTCGTGCAGTGTCCAGGGGTCATGGGCTTCAGTCATCTCACGATAAACACATGACACCTGATCGTACAGTTACAGGGAGGTCAGACATGTTTGATATTGTGTTTAGTCGTAGGGTCCAAATGCTGCTGAAGCAGGTGAGAGCAGTGGAGGTAAAATCCAGCTGCAGGGGGCTGTAAACACAGCTCTGATGGTTGGAGCAAGGTGTGGAGGTGAAATGGACCAATAATGCGCCGCTGACACATATTCTGATCAAATCACCACACACATGAAGAAAAGTGTTGTGAAAAAAGCAGACTATTGGTTGAGAAAGACGCGGTGCCCAATGGGAACTGACGTCGCCAAAAACCTCATCACGAACAGAGTTGGAGTTATGGATCTGTTGTGTAAATGGCTCATATCGCGCACACCACAGAAAGCCGTCCTCTGCAGACAGACGTACAGGCACCTGCACAGTCAACTGTCCCAGGGTCTATGAGGTGCTGTCTAAATAAAATGTAAAGGTTCTTCTGTGGCTTCCTTTCCGTCCTGTCTGAAGTGGAAATGTGGATTTATGGACTCGTCCGCACTAAAGGAAAGCAGTGAGAGGTTTGTCTATCTGCAACTCACAACGAGTATTTCATGTTTCAACTGGAATCAAAGCAAACGAGCCGTGTCAGTTCGGGGCAGCACAGTTATTGATACATTTGCACACAAACGACCGAACACACTTGCATTGCTTTTTAGATACCTTTGGGATGATTTAACAAAATGATAGGCACTCAAAAGAAACATGGATACTGCATTCAAACTAAATATTAAGTTTATTAAAGCTGGGTCCTTGCAAGGTTCGCCCACATTTCCACATGTTGACATGTTTCAACACTAACAGATCCGTAACCACCGGAAACTCAATGGACATCACAATAGCGAGCACCAATTTTTAAATTTTTTAATTTTTTTTCTTTTCTACCAAAACGGTTATGCTATGCTGCCAAATGCAACTCCTATCACGGATTAAGAAAATAAAATTGTAGAACGAAGTTAGTAGAGAGCAGTGGCCGTATGTCAGTGGCGGTGAAAACGGCATGATCAGTCACTCCAAATACAACTTCCAGAGTCAATGAGAAGGGGGAACAGTTATAACATGATCAAATGCTCTGAAAAGCTGATTTAGATCATAAGGATTTATATGGGACTGCAGCACAACAGAGAAGTTAGTGAATAAGGTGAGTTGAAGATTGTCATTTTTTATTATTTATATGTAAAAAGGAGTTTAGAGCTTAAAAAGTTGAATCTGTCTTTATGTAAATACATTGTTTCCTAATACTTAAAGGTGTATTGTGTAACTTTGATCAAAAACTTTTTTCCATGGAGATGTTATTGCTTTGTCTGGAATGTTTCACAGTATGGCTTTAAACCTTTCCATCTTCATAGAGACCAAACTAAACCAAGTTACAGGTCAGATCTGTGGAGAGGCGACCCTGCCCACAGTCAGAATGTTTGTTTTTCTCTGTATTTTTGAGCTATAAAACCACCTGTAACTGAATAAATGTAAAAAAGATCTGTTTAATGTCATACTGTGGGACATTCTAAGCAGAGCAATGACATAACTGAAGAAACAAGAATGTGACGGACCCCCAACCAAAAAGTTACATGGTGCACCTTTAATTTAAAATACTATAAATATACAACATACATGAGTGCAGTTTGGGTCAGATTCATAGAGATATGGAATAGTTTTGAAAACTTTTGCCCTGTGCCCTTTTTAGTCGACTAATCTGCAGGACAGTCAAGCAAAATTTTGTCGACTACAGCCCTAAATCATATGCTGTATTCTTAAAGGTGCACTATGTAACTTTTCTGGTAGAGGCTACGTCACCTGCTTGTTTCTATGGTCATTGCTCTGCCTGGAATGTTCCATAGTGTGACATTAAACAGCTCTACCTTATATTTAATCAATTACAGGTGGTTTTATAGCTCAAAAATACCTAGAAAAACAGACATTCTGACTGTGAGCGGGGTCACCTCTCCACAGATCTGACCTGTAACTTGGTCTGGTTTTGTCTCCATGAAGATAGAAAGGTTTAATGCCATACTGTGAAACATTCTTCACAAAGCAATAATATGTCCATGGAGAAAAGCAGCCCATTCACAGCCCAAAATTTAATATATTTTTCTTAAATTTGTATGTGTAATCCATTCAAGTTTTACTTATTAATCTGGAAGTGTGTTCCTTTAAATTTCATTGTGCCGTATCATATGCGTCCAGTAGATGGTGCTGTAGGTTCTGTTGCAAATGTACCGCCATCTTGTGAAAAAATTGGACAGCACACGTAAGCTATATTGTGTAAATTGTGGTAAAATATTGCTCAAATGGTTAAATAACACCTTGTTTCTGGTTCTTAGAGAAAAATCAATTTGCAAAAGTTTCTGGAGAAGAAGATTTATCCAAGTTTTGTTTGGTCTTGTTCTCCGGTGAGTGTGTTAAAATGCTATGCTAGCTTCATCTTATTTTTACATTGACCTTAATTACATGATACAGTGAAAATTTGTTATTTACATGATTGTGTGAAAATATAAAAACAACTGGAGAAAATGTATAACTATGTACAAATCAGAACTTATTTACAGAAACAGATTTTAATTTGTTTTAACAAAGGACTGATTTACATAGGGGTAAACTGGTAATATGTGGGGGTATTGATCTTGTTTAATAAATTTTGTTCACTTTTGTCATTTCAAACTCCGGTCCAGATTTATTACACCTTCTTTCCTCCTTTAGAACCTAGATTCCTGGGTACATGTACTAGTTCATTTGGTACAGGTCACATAATATTATTCATTTGAAAATGTTAAATGGCCACGCATAACTCATTAATAATAATAATAATAATAATAATAATAATAATAATAATGAAGAACAAATCAAGATTACATGACTGTTCATTCCCCATGATCCCAATCTGTGTAAATTACATCTGAGAAATGCCCTTGTTTATGTGTACTATTTTTGACAAGACGTATGTGTGTGTGTGTGTTTAATATGGCTCTGTACAGACCCTCCACCAGAAAAGTTAATGAAATGAAACTCATGTAAGACAGAATTCAGCTTCTAATCAGATTTAATGACATTATCAGCAATACAATTTTTGCAAAAAACATTTTAAGCATATATAAACCCAAAACATGCTACATAGGTCTCCAGTTAAATACAATCAATCAGTTAACCTGCCCAGGGACGACAGGTGTAAATTGGCATTGGTGCTACAACCTGGTACATGCATCTCTGCTGTTAAGGTTAATGTAGACTGTGCACTGTCACTGTCTCATGAAATAAAATAAAATATAAACCACAACAATAAATTAGCAGTTTCTTCTCACATAATTTTGCTTTCATAACAATACAGATTTTTTGATGAATCAGCAAAGAAAATCACGTTAATTAAAAGTTAATGTTTGTGTTAACAGTCTGATTTTGTGAAGTCAGATGATTACATAGATACCTCAGAGTTTTGAGATCACATGCCTACACTGTATTTTAAAAGCCACAATTACAAGCCTGACATTGTGCATTTTATTTATTTTCTAATCTATCAGAATTAACTGAGTACAGTGGGATCCGAGAGAACTCTTATTTCTTTAAAAAACTTGGTATGTAGTTGAGCGGGTTGGGCAGGTTGGGCAGGTTGGACATGAAGGATTTCTTTGGCTTTTGTGTTGGGGGTTTTTCGAGTAGAACCTCTCCTTTTTTGACTTTGTCCATATACTCTGCTTTCTCTTTCATCGCTGTTAGTGACTTTACTCTTTCTTTCCAGCCCAGTTCGGCTTGAGATTTCTCCCCTTCGATGAGCACATCAATGTAATCTGGAGTAGAGAGGGGGTCTGGTTTCAGAGCGATCTCCTTCAGTCGGTTCAAACTGGCAGAGGACTCGTCTATTAACACTGTCACTTCATCTTGGACATCTCATAATCTGTTTTCAAGTTTGTCCAGCAAAGCCTCAACAGTATTTTTTGCATCTTTAGCTATGTCATACTTCTCCTTCAGTTCCTTAATAGTTTCCTTCTTTGTTACTTGTTTGTATTCCCATTTGTATTTCTGATTAAAATGCACATTCCAGATGCATTTGTTTGGACATACAGTGCACTTTCCATCTTCTCATTGCACAACATTTTATTTTATCTGCATCATTTGCATATGCACAATTATCATGGCATGTGTAATGACACTGCTGACAGTTGGTGATGAAGATGCCTGTTCCAGAAATATCAATCTGGACGGGCTCAGTGACAGTGACGGTATATTCAAAGTTTTTATTCCGGCTGATCTCGGCCTGGTGCGTTTCCACTATTTGGGAAGTCTGTTTTATCTCCTCAAGTTTAGAGAGACCAACTCGGACCTGCTTCTGAAGATTCTCCACCAGGTTCTCCAGCTGTTTTCGCTCTGTCAGCACCTCTTTGGTCATTGTCAGACTTTTAGTTTCTATTTTACTCAAAGCAACAAAAAATCTCTTCATGCTTTTGTTGCCCATGTCCCAAAACATGTGGTCAAATCCTTCCTCCTCCTCATCTTCATCCTCTTCTTTTGTAGGAGAGTTATTACTGGCGAACAGAGCAGAGTTGTTGAATTTGAAGTGAACTGGATTTCCCTTTTCAAGGGGACATGGGACCCCAGATGCTTTGATGGCCTCTAGAACTGGGGGGCGCTGTCCATCTGCAAACGTCACCAGAACTCTGATGTTTTCTGCGATGTCTTTGCCAAAGATTGACAGCACAGAGTCAAACACGTATCTCTGTGAGGGGGTGAGTCTCGCCAGAGCGGCCTGGACTACAAAGCACACTGCATCTATTTCAAAAACTCCAGATTCAGATGTGAAAAGGTTACGGATCTGCTCTGTGATCTGTCTGTCTCTCTCTATCCCTCTGGTGTCTCCAAATCCAGGCGTGTCTATGATAGTGAGTGAGTAGTTTATCTGGAAGCCATCTCGGTAGTTGAGTTTGTAGACTGTGACCTCAGATGTCTGACTTACAGCTTGAGTTTCCTTCTGAACTTCTTTGACTAGTTTAAAGCGGTACTCATCCTCCCATCGAACTCCTAAAATGTAGTTGATCATGCCATCGATCAGAGTGGACTTTCCAGCTCCTGTTGCTCCCATGACCATTATGGTACGATTTGTTTTCATGTCATCTTTTCCAAATCTGAACCATCTGCAGCCATCGACATTTATCTGTTCTTCTTCCAGAGGAACTTGATAAACAGGAACTTGCCATGTGTTGGATTCTAGACAAGTGCTTTTGGCTCTAACTGCATCAGGGAGACGTTTTAGGGCCTCTGATTGTTTTTTAAGAGGTGAACTTCCTTCTAATTGACCTTTACCAGTTTGGCTTTCTTCAGTTTGACCATCTTCAGTTAGGGCTTCTTTAGTTAGGCTTTCTTCAGTTAGGCTGTCATCGATTTCGGCTTCTTCTTCTTTAGTTAGGCCTTCTTTAGTTAGGGCTTCTTTAGTTAGGCCTTTCTTTAGTTTAGCTTCTTTCTTTAGTTAGGCTTTCTTCTGATTCCTTATTAACACCTAGGTTTTCTTTTGAGGGACTTTTAATATTTGAGTTTTCATCTGATTGGCTGTTGTCTTCTGTTTTTTGTTCTGGTTCCATATTTTCCATTTTATTTGATTTCCTATTAAACAAAGAAGTACAACACTGCACAGATTTGGTTCTTGCTTTCATTGTGCTGTGTATTATAATGTCCAGTCGTGCAATAGAGTTGGATGAGGACTGATACCTTAACACCCTTAAATAATCAAAAGTGAATCCTTCTGATGAGACCCTCCAGCAAAAACCTGAAAACAAACAAAATTTGAATTTTTCTGTACTCACTTGTTTGCACAAATGGTATAATTTTAAAGTACACTGGGCACTATGAAGGGAGCAGCCAGTGATCAATAAAAACAAAACAAAAAACAAAAAAAACCCTGCATGCTCAACTAATGCACAAATGAATGAGACAATTTGGATTGCTATATGCTAGAAAACTATTACACCTGGGTCAGTCTGTATGAAATCAGCCTTTTTCAAGGAATCTCCCCTATGAGCCATCTCAGATTTAGCTGAAAAAATGTCTAAAAATGTCTAAAATCACCAAATGAAAGAATCTCAATTTTAGCTCAATCCCTTAAGTTGTTCCTGAGTTACGGCCCATTGAAATTTTGGGTCCATCCTCACTTTTTCAGAAGCCTTAAATTATAAGCATGTTTGAGAGACAATATCTTCATTAAAAATAGATCTAGGAAGCTGAAATTTGTATTATTGTAGATTCTGGATCCATGGAATCTGCTGTCAAATATTGGGTATCTTTATTAAGGGGGGCGCTGTGGGCTCCCAAATCTCACAATTGGTTGCTGCTCAATTTTATTTATTTTTTTCAATTTTTGAAGTCCAAGATCTATTTACTCCAAGCAGGTATTTACAAACTGACTGTTGAACCTGAATATTTAAGAGAATGACCACTTCTGACAACAGTTTCACACTTTTCTGAGCTTTTCATGTGGACGGTGTAGAGTCCCATATATGATAACAGACCAAATGCGACATTTTTGGCCCCTTTTTGGACCCTTGGTTCCCCATGTGGACACAGTTAGATGTTGATCAAATTTTTACCAGAGAAACTTTGGCATATTCTCATTAGTTTATAGTAATAAAAACCTCTACTAATAACTTATTCATTCATCGTCCTTCAAACTGAATTTTGGTAAATGAGCTCTCACAGGTCATTTTTGGTGGAGCTTAGGTACTTTTCCACCTGCTAGAAAGGTTCAGTTACTTTAATATACTTAAACACTATTTTCTTGTTATAAGGGAGGAAAATTGGAGAATATTTGTGGGACATTGCTTGGAAAAGAAAAAAAAAGTAATTCAGCTATTAACTCTGTACAAAATTATGAAAAAAAGATTTGTTTGCATTATTTATTCTATTTTTATTTGAGGAAGATAATTATCTCACAAAGAAACAGCTTTTCATGATGTATAAGTAAAGCAACAAAAGTTAAGATCGTATTCATGGAAACTGATCAAAGGCAAATTACAAATGGAATACTCATTGCCTGTTAACTCACACAGTCTCTGATTCTATAACCATGGCTTTCAGTATCACCATATGTATATTATTTTTGCAGAAAAATATTACAAGAAGGCCGTAACATTAACAAGGAAAAATTTGATACTGACACAAAGTTACCAAAATACAGTAATTTGGTTGGTTATTTGTTCAGCTGCTAGAAATTACATTTTAAAAAATCAGTGTGAAAAACAACCTAAGCAGAAAATACTGATGTCATAAATAGTATTGACCTGGCTGGTACAGAGAGATATCTACACAATCTCATTTTGTATTTCAGATACTGACACTTCAGTACATAAATTATCTTGAGATATTCTCCTCATTTTTAATTTACCATCTGACACCGGAATGAATCTGTGGTGTGGTCTAGTACCATTCACAGTCTTTGCCTTGCTGTAGGGCTCTTTAGTTTGGAAGTAAGGTCATGGTTTGTAATGTTTTTAGAGCTTACAAAGAAAAACCTCACGTTATTTATGTTTTGTGAAGCCCACTCAAACATCTAGAGTGTGGTCAATATTTGATTGCTGTCAGTTGCCTGAAGACTGGTCCTTGCAGCCGAGCATTTTACTGTGCCACCAAAACATCACAAACAATGTACCACAAATAATCTCAAGTTGTCTTCCCTTATAACAAGCAAATAGTGTTTAAGTCTATTAAAGGTAATTTAACCTTGCTCACAGGTGGAAAAGTACCTAAGCTCCACCAAAAATGATCAATGAGAGTTAATTTTCAAAAATTCCATTTGAAATGAAGGAAGTTAATAGTAGAGGTTTTATTACTTTAAACTAATCAGAATATGCCAAAGTTTCTCTGGTAAAAAATTTATCAACATCTAACTGTGCCCACATGGGGTCCAAAAAGGGGCCAAAAAGGTCGCATTTGGTCTGTTATCATATATGGGGCTCTACACCATCCACATGAAAGCTCAGAAAAGTGTGAAACTGTTGTCAGAAGTGGTCATTCTCTCAAATATTCAGGTTCAACTGTTAGTTTGTAAACATCTGCTTGGAGTAAATAGATCTTGGACTTCAAAAATTGAAAAAAAAATGAGCGGCAAAGAAATGTGAGATTTTGGGGGCTCACAGCTCCCCCCTTAATAAAGATACTCAACATTTGACAACAGATCCAGAATCCATGACCAAGAATCTACAATAATAGAATCTACAATATCAAACATGCTTATAAATTAACGCTTCAGAAAAAGTGAGCATGGCCCCAAAATTTCAACGGGCCATAACTCAGGAACGACTCAAGGGTTTGAGCTAAAATTTGAGATTCTTTCATTTGGTAATTTTTTCTAAATTTTTTCAGCCAAATCTGAGATGACTCACTGGGCTTTTATATCATGTTGTTGGAGTTGTTTCATTTATAAACTAGAGCACACTAGGGAAGTCATCCTCCTTGCTGACAAGATGACCACCACCAAAATGCACCGTGTGTGTGTGTGTGTGTGTATATATATATATATATATATATATATATATATATATATATATATATATATATATATATATATATATATATATATTATATATATATATATATATATATATATATATATATATATATATATATATAAACACATAACACATATTTGTTTGTTCATATTTGTTTTCATACCTGATAGTTTCAGCTGCTCACTGTGGTCTTCCTCAGAGTGGTAACGTGATGTTGCTGTGATGTGTCTGGTCAGATGATTTACACAGGCTGCCTGGCAAAAACAAACCAGATGCAGATCATTGGACTATGCATAATCTAAATAAAATGTTGTACTGCAATAATAATAATTATTGAAACTGATTTTCCTGATGACAAATATGTTTTCTGTGCACAAAGCTCTCATTCATGTTCCCTACTTCTATACTGATACTCATGTTGATTCACTGTTAATCAATATTAAAAAGCAAAACATTTTGACAGAAACAGATTAAGGTGTTTTTAAATGCGAGCTCCGGCTCCAACCGATCAGGTTTAAAAGGTGCACTGTGTAATTTTTTTACTGAAATGTTCCACAGTATTGCATTAAACTTGTATAACTTGCATTTATTTTTAATTATAGGGGATTTTATTGTCTTGAAAAACTGAGAGCAGTTTCCACATATCTGACCTGTCACTCGACATTGTGGCATCACCTCCTTGAATCCATGGAGACAGATTTTTAATGTCATACTATGGGACATTTCAGTAATAGCATATCTATGAAGACGAGCGGACGGCCTTCCATCAGAAAAGTTACACAGTGTATCTTTAAAGAACCATTCAAAAGAGCCAAGTTGTTATTGAACACCACATCATCAGGAGAATAACACGTCTCATATGTCTGGAGCTGCTCTCTGCTTTGTTTTCACTCAGAGATAAGAAGGAGCGAGAGTAATGACCAGATCGTTACTTTAGACCTGCAAATTTCATTGAAATGTGAAACAAATCACATTTCTTATTACTTTTAATTGCTCTTAGTTTACTTTAACATTTCAGAACAATTTCATAATTCAGTATTTAGTGGTTAAGTAAAATATTAGCTACTATAGTCCGATTTAAAGCATCATCCCTGTTTTAGATTATAGAAATGTTGAACTCACCTGCGTGAAGATCCAGAAGTGACTGTTTTTGAAAGGGCAGGGCTTCTTTTATGTGCTCTGAGAGAGACGGGGGGCGGGATTTATATAGAGAGAGAGATAGAGATTTATATAGTGATGAGACTGCTACTTTCATTTCTGAGAAAATGAAACCAAGGAATCAAAAAGAAACAGAAAGGAAATAAATCCTGAGCCTATGCCCATTTTTATCCATGTAGTCCAGAAGTGGCCTAGCTTCTATACTCTATATTCTATATTCTATATGCTATATTCTATGTTCTATGTTAGCTTCATTAATTACAAGTCACCCTTCAGAAGGTCCAGGTGCAACTCAGGCCGAGCCTAATTCAAGATCTGAAGACGGGTCAATGTACCAAGTTCCACCAACTTAAAAAGAAAAATAAAAAATCTTCAGTTTCTTCAGTTTCAAGTTTCATTTTAGGAAAGTTTGTACACATACATTTATGCACACATACATTTATGCACACATAAAAATTACCAAGATTTAAGAAAATTTTGGTCAAGTGGTAATGTATCAGGCAAGGATTAATTGCATTGTTGTCATGGTACTCAAATTTCAGTCTTTCAATACTAAGGAAGAGACTACTCAATAATGATTCCAGTACCACTATGTCATTATAATAACCACTCTTTCTTTAGCTATTCTTTAATAGAATTTTCAACATTAAATCATAGTACTTTCTTTCATATTCCCATGTGGTCTTATATCTGTGTAATCCCTCAGTGGTCCAGGTAGGTTCCATAGTGGTCCATGGGCGTATAGTCTATGTGCTCTTATACTTGTTCTGATACAAGATCATTGTAAAGCTTCAGGAAAGGTTCTGTGAACTTTTGGCAAAATGGACTGCCCTGCCATATCATTATTTCATTTTGATTTCACTTTGACTCTGATGAGGACACCACCCACCCAGCACATAAAGTGTTATCCCTCCTACCATGTGGTATGCATTATCGCAGCATGCAGTGCAACACAACCACACTCAACAACAGTTTCTTTTGCAGGCCATTAGGCTAATCAATACACAAGAAAATTCCATAAACATGGTAATCACTACATCCAAAATAACTTAATGCATTCTTATATTCGTGCTGCTATCTCAGCAATCTGCACTGTATTGCACCTTCATATACATCAAAAATGGCTATCTCATTCTTGTGGAAATATATATGTCCTTGTCTGTCTGTATATTGTTTTTATTTTATTTATTATTGATATCTACGTACATTTCATGTCTATGCGTGTTATGTGTGTGTGTTTTAAGTTTTTTTAACTGCACATTTGGAGTTCGAAACGTAATTTCAACCCCCCTGTGTAATGTCTGTTACATGGTGGAATTGACAATAAAGTTCACAATAAGCAATAATAACACACACAAGCACATTTTTAATAACAATACAAAATAATACATAATACTATCTGCAATCATGTCAGAACGTCACAGAATCTATTATAATTTTAAGTTACAAAATGGCTACTGGATGCTGTTTTCTATCAAGATCACACATAATACTTTGTGACTTTACCACTTTGTCAAAACCTGATCCCATCAGATCTTGTCATTTACACTGCAATTACAGATCTTCATTAAGATGCATTGTGCCTACCAAACAAACAAACAAACAAACAAATAAATAAATAAAATACCATATTTTTCAGACTATAAGTCACACTTTTTTCATAGGTTGGGTGTCTCCTATGACTTATACTCCGGTGCGACTTAAATATTAAAATTTTCACACTGAAGCCTCGAGAGGCTCTAGTCTTGTGTGTCAGTATCTGCTGCTCCTGTTCCTCCTGTATCACTGTCACTTCACTCTACTGCACATGTCTCCTGCAGAAAAAGCCTCTGTCCTGCTGCAAGTAGTGAAATCTTCAGCCGGAAACAGTAATCAAGCAGCAGAAAGAAAGTTTGGAGTGAGAACTTGTGAGGGACTGACAGAAAGCGGGGATGGAGAACACAGCTTCACAGCAATCGGGAGGATGCACCATGAAACTTTCCTGGAAGTCACTGGATGGATCGACAAAGCCTGGACTTCAGTGGCACCGAAACCATCCTGTCAGGATTCAGAAAGGCCGGAATAATTCTAACTGGAACTGATGCTGAATCTGACAACAGCTTCATAGAAGAAGAAGCGACGCTCTGTTTACCTCCGGAGGTCACGGAGTTGTTCAGAAGTGACACAGAAGTGGATGAAGAATTGAATGGATTTAGTGATTTGGAGTGAGATGGAGAGTTTGGTAAACTTGTTCTGTTCTGTTGTTTATGGTATAGTTTATCTGAAGAACTGTTGATATGTGACTTTAACAGTCTGTTGTTCTCTCTTCTATTGTTATTACTATAACGTAATTCTTAAGATGTAATGTCGGTTCTTGGTCTCTGATTGTATAAAATAAATTTCCCCCAAAAAGTACGACTTACATTCCGGAGTGAGTTATAGTCTGAAAAATATGGTAAACAAAAAAATAAGGAATAAGCAAACTAAGCAATGTTGAGTTTGGAAAAATATCTTTAACAAATCACGGGCTTTTATACAAACCTGGAAGCAAAAGTTGCATAAATAGTTGTGTAGTAATGATGAAAGTGAAAGGTGAAGTGTTTTATTGATCACTAAGTCCTTATCTGCATTTGAAACCTGAAGCGTCTCGAACTGGACAATAGAGGATGAAAATCAATCCAACCACCACAGCTAATTTTCTCACACGCTTCTCTCAAATTTGGGAAACTTCTCTTAAAAACCCTATAAGTTCATACCTGACATAAGTAATAGTTTTTGTGCTTTGATTGTTGATTCTGCTGTTTATTTTAAAATATTATTTATTTAAAACAAGTGCACAGAAAAGATTAAACTCAGAGAGAAAAGATGCTCTGTGCCAGATTTAGTTTGTTTCCATCTGCAGTCCTTGGGCAGGTACAAAATACATTAAAACAACCACTATCCAATTCATCATTAAACATTTAAAATAATCACACTGCAAAAAACAAAATCCAGCCAAGTTAAGATGACTTGAATTAAGAAAGTTTTTTGATGATTTGAGTAAATTTCACTTGACAAGTACAGTTATTTGCCAGTGGAACAAGACTTTTTATACTTAACATATGAAAACACATCCTGCTATCCTTAAAAAAAAAAAGGAAAAAACAAAAAACAACAACTTCTTGCACTTAAAATGAGAAACAAAATTAAATGTTGCTTGAATTAAGAAATACACACTTATTCATTTGGTAGATCATTTTACTTGTCAGATTAAATTGGCTCAAATAAAAGAAAATGTTCTTAATCTATAAAATGTAATTAGTTTTAACTTAAATAGATATAGTTTTTTCCACTGCAAAATGTACTCATTCTAATTTCCATAAATACAAGATTTCAAATTCATTATTATCTTTTAAAAATCTTTAATTGTCATCAATATCCTCTAAAACAGGGGTCTCCAACTTTTTTCTTCCGGTGAACTACCTTTACAAAAAGAAAATACCAAAAAGCTACTAATTTTAGCGGTCACAAAAAAATTGAGCATAGGAAGGCCTTAGATGGAGAACAGCTCGATACCTATAAAACATAAACCTTTATCCATTTATTAGTGCACAAAGTTTAGGATGACTAGACTTTCGAAATAAAAAACAAAACAAAAAACAAAACTGGGACATCCCCGTTTTTTTGGTGATTGGTCATAATAAAACTGTGAAACGAGTGCGTAATTAAGGAAAACTGTTCTGCATAGACCATTCATGACAAACATACTGTATAAATATATATGAGTGAACATAGTTAACATGCAAGCCACCGGCGCGTGCCAAATATCCAAAATCCAGCTCCTTCTGACTCTGACTTACATTACTTGACTTACTCCTCTCTCTGTACCTGCTGCTGTGAGTCTCATTATTTTGGTCTTAAAATGTTCGTATTAACCCTCGACACATGAGCCAGAATTTATTTCTCTATTTTGTCCATCAAAAAAAATTCTATTCATAACATGCTGGCCTGGCTCCAGATTCACTCCTGTAACCGTGAGCACTGTTTGAGCACTCACTTAGTCCACTTCTTTTATACAGTCTAGATCAGGGGTGTTCACACTTTTTCAGCATGCGAGCTACTTACAAAATGACCAAGTCAAAATGATCTACCTAATGCAAAGCCAAGCAAACTGCACTGAAACACTCTGTGCCCCTTTTTTGGACCCTCACCCACAGTTTGAGAACCTCTTCTTTAAGAGAACTTCCTCTGGCACTTTACACAAAACTGTGAAAAAAGTAAACGAAGATTTTTAAACCTGTTTTTTAAAGTTCCAAACTGGAGTTTCATTCTTTTCTGGTTTTGCAGTGATATTTACCAGCCTCTGCACGTTTACCAAACCAAACGCACATCGTGACAAACACAGATGCATTTGTGCACTTTTGTTAGACAAACATCAGCCAAATGTGGCAGTAGGTCTGTTCTGTAGATCCGCTCTATGCTGTAGACCTGCTTTTTGCCAACACTGTAACACAAATTTAGACTCGTTTTTGCTTCACGTTTTGTCTTGCTCTTCTAATCAGCCGCACTGTGGGAGGGGCTTGTGTTCGCTGTACGCAGGAAGGAGCGAGAGCGTGAAAAGGCGAGGGGCGGCGTGCTGACGTGAGGCAGATGAACAGGTAGGATGTTTAGGAAGTTTGAACCTGCCCTGTGATGCACGCTGGTACACGAGGGCACACGCTGTTGCAGACGAGCCGTGCATAGGGAGCGTGTGTGTTTGTGATGTGCCGTAGAGTCTCCGCAGGTTTCAAATGAGCGCACAGGCTGCACTGAGACGCCCCACACGCTCCTGCACCCGCTACAAGTTTATTGCCAACAGCAGCGGCCGTAATGAAATATGATCACACTTGTTGAGTGTCAGACCTCGAGTGAGAGACAAGACCGAGTCCAAACGCGAGTCAGAGACGAGACACAGTGATCTACCCACACGACCTTGGCGATCGACTGGTAGATCGGGATCGACGTGTTGTGCCCCCCTGGTCTAGGGTATTTTACCTAAACAAATGACAATTTATGCC